TTTAAGCTAGTAAACTGAGACCAACCAGGAGACCAGATGATTGGCCTGGATATTGTCACGTCATCAGCATACCTAACAGAATAAGCTTTAGTTAAGGTTTATATCACACAAAAGGAAAGTTGAAAGAACACCACCATGAGACACCGATTTCACTACGTAGCGAAGTAGAAAGCCTCTCTCTGCATGAAGTGTACTGTATTCTCTTATAAAAAAATTTCATCAAGCCATTTTGTAATCCAGGACTCAATGTGATTTCCCGTAGGCTTGTTTAATAAAACGGGTCTAGGGGTAAAGTCAAAGGCAAAAGTATAATCTAACAATGCAAATCTTACATACGTAACTCCTTCATCTAGACTGAAAATAATATTATGATGTAAAACAGCTGTAACATCTGATGTACTTCTAGGTTTGTGGGCAAATTAATTAGAATCTCTAAAAGCCTCCAAAGGAGGTTCAAGCACACAAAGTAACAGTTTATCCATTGTTTCTAAAAATAGTGAGGTTACTAGGATCGGTCAGAACTTCACTTTTACTACAAATGGTATAGACTTAGATACCGGAACTATTTTTATTTCCTTCCAGGTTGTTGATACACCATAAGGTAGATACTGTAACTAGTATGTGATAGGAAAACAATTGTTTAACCAATACTCTGAGATTCAATTCTTGCAACTAGTTTGCAAGTAAACAAACAATGGTCAGTATAATGATATATGACTTTGACAGGGTATGTTACTCTAATGTCTTTGTAGTGAAATAGTAAAATTCTAGTCGTAAACATGAACACTACATAGACAGCAAGTATGGCAGGATAATACGAGTTCATTTGAACGACTTCGATGATTCTCTTTAATTGCTTAAAAACCTAAGTGTTATCAAAATGTAAATACATACTTGTATCAAATTGATGAGAAGTTATTGATAGGATCAAACAGTAATATACAGGACTTAATAGAGATCTTTAAACATGTTAGAGGAAGACTGGATATTTATAAGACAGTCAGATGAATTTCCATAAAGAAGAAAGTAGAGAGGTGAATGGAATGCTTCAAAAACTCAAAATATTATAAAGCTACACAATCTATTGTTATTATTTCCCGTCCACCTCTTTGCATTCCCGCTTAAGAATATTCAAATAATAACCTTATAATTAGCCAAACATCCTCTCACATTCCTGACGATCTTTCCTATTCTTTTTTGTAGTACAGTTCATGTACCCTATGATTAAATGAATCAGATAAAAAGGTTTGTGCATGATCCTGGAGAGACGAAAGGATGCGCTGGAATCACAACTAAAACCGGAACAGACTGGCTGGATTCAGGAAGTACAAACCATGTGAGGACCAAATTCCAACACTAAGCTGCGCATCATCATAGAATAGAGTATAGAATGGCAGTCAACTCAACTCTACTTCAACTTCATCGACTTTAAAAAGACCTTCGACAGCGTCGACTAACAAGTTATTTGGCAGGCAGCTGCTTCAACACTACAGAATAACACAAACCTCTATCAGCCTCATTCAACAACTATATGAAGACACCACATGCCAGCCAAGTAATTCACAGTGGAAAGCTCAGTTCAGTGATGCCTATGAAGCGAAGTGAAGACAGGAGTGAAACAATGCTGCTGTCTATTATAACCCATGATATTCCTGATTGTGGTCAACTGGACTGGATCATGCAACAAACAGTGAGAAGGTGTGAGAAGAGGAGGACACGCTGGCTGGAAAGGGGAAAAGAACCTAGAAGACTTGGATTTCACCTATGACTTGAATCTAATGTCATTTCACACAAACCTGAAGATCTACATGCGAAAACTTACGAGTTGACAGAGGAGGCGAGGCGAGACGGTGAAGACGGGACTTCAAGTGAATATAGAGAAGACAGAGGTTCTGAAGATACCCAAACAACAACAACATCAAACTCCAATCACCATCAACGTGAGAATCTTGGAGGAAGTAGCCTCTTTCAATTATCTAGGCGGCACTGTTTCAACTACAGGTGGCGGCACAGACGAGGATGTCAAAGTCAGAATCCGAAAAGCAAGAAAGGCGTTCATTAGCCTGAAACCAGTGTGGAGATCTTCTGCACTCCGCATAAAGCCTGAACAAGATCCGAATTTTCAACACCAATCCAGTCAAGTCAGTGCTGCTGTGTGATGGTTGAGAGACTTGGCGAGTTACGAAAAGCATTTCCAACAAACTACAGACATTCATCAACAACTGCCGTGTACGCTGGCTCGTCACTGTAGCTCAGATGGCCAGAACAATTAGAATAAGCAACAAGGAACTCTGGCTGGCTGGTGACGATCCAGCCAAGAACCTATCATTCAACAAATATGCAGAAGGAAGTGGAGATGGACTGGATTGGGCATACACTGAGAAGGCCGACTGGGATATCACGCGTCAGGCCAGTCGCTTGAGTGGAACGTAGATGGGAAGCGACGAGTTGGGCGTCGGAGGCGATGGTGACATGGAGAAGATGGTGTGAGGAGGAAATGAGAGTTTGTGGGCTGTTGTGGAACCAGGTTGAAAAGATTTTAGAGAACAGAGTAGAATAGAGGCGTTCTAGTGAAGCCCTATGTTCCATCAGGAACCCAAGGGACAAATAATAAAAATAATAGTAATAATAATGATAATAAAGGTTTGTGAAGAAGAGTAACGTCAGTTGATAAGGTTGTGGATCACTATCAGCTCAGTTGGTTGGAACATGAGTTACGCATGCCTTGTCACATGATGTTAGCTAAAGTGGCTTCAGACTAGAAAATGGTTAGAAATGACCAGATTCGTAAATGCCATCATTCCATGATGCCAGTGACATTCGGCCTGAGCAATGTAGAAAGATACAGACTTTTCGAATACGGTACGTGAGGCAACAGAAACCAAACGTGACTGAGATTCGATTCTAATGGTGCGGATATATCTACTCACTGTCTTCATTATGATTGACATACCAAAATTCACTATTGCCTTGCTCCTCCTTATTCTCTTTCCACGAATATCTACCACTTTTGACCTAAAAGTTTATTGCAGGAGAAAATTATCCGAAGGTTGGCGGCGAAGTATGTTCATTTTATGGAAGGAGAGTTAATGTTAGACGAATGGAAAAGGATATGCTAACAAAAATGATAAAAATATAGTGGGTTAAAGTAAATCGAAAATGATGAGAATATGAATAATGTTTGAGAATAATATTACGTAAGACAATAAAATGAAAGAATAAAATAGTAAACAAAGGTGTAGGAAAAGAACAACCTACCAAGGCAATGCAAAGTGACCCACGAACTTCTTTTGTACACATAAGTTTAGTTTCAGTCAACGGATTGCTGCTACTTCTGTATGACGTAGCAATCTAATATATTTTTGTAAACTGATAACCTTGAAAGCTATGCTTGAGTCGACGGTATGACCTGTATCGAGAATGTGTTTGCCAATGGCGATGATTGGTAGCCTTCCACCTCTCTATGATAGGCTTTTTGACAGATGTTCAAAGATACGTTTAGAAAAGACCCTCTTTGTTCTTCCGATATACATGTTAGTGTAAGTACAGGTGAAGAAATAAATACAGTTAGAGGTAACATGAGGAGTCTCACATCTTAATTACTTTCTCTGATCATGTTCTTCGTGTCATAGACAACTGTATGGATGCATTCAATCAATGATTATTTTGTGAACTCAGTTCATCGGTTTCTATGGGCAGCAGTCTAATGAACAAGTTATTTTAAGGGTTACTCTAGCAACTGTTGCAATAACCAGTCAAGTTTTGGTATTCCGTTTATAAAGTTAGTTTTTCATAAAATATAGATACTTAATTAGTTATCTCAGCAGTTGTTAGTGTCCTTTAAAGTTGCATCTAATGAACACGTTCTTTTTTGTCATGGTTGTGTCACTCAGTTTCTCATTTTTAAGCCTAAAGTGTTTATTGATAAACTTTATGGGATATTCATTATCTAACAAAGTTTTTTGTATAGTATCCAGTTCCTTTTCAATGACTTCCTTGGAACATAGTCTAGTAGCGCTTACAAATAAAAGTCATACCACACTATTTGTTGTCCTTTCTTTTCATTAATGTTTTATTATTGTTATCATCACTTCCATCATTGGTATTATTCAATTCTACTCTGATCCAACAAATCAATGAAAAATTTGGTAATACTATTCAGCTCCATGTACTAACTGAAATGACATACATATCCACTAAATATGTGCTGTTGTACTTACTGAATGATTATAATGTCACCTATGAGCTTTGTGGTCTGATATTTACAATCACGGAGAATATGAATAGTAACACACACGCACACACATGCTAACCTTACAGAGACATGCTATTTCGCAGTGAATGATTAGTTATCATATTTTAGAAAGACAATAGGTTTACTATGAGAATTGAACAGGCAGATTTAATACACGTCTATGAATTCATTTGTATATCCTTGGTATTTCAGCCTTGAGGCAGGCGCGAAACGTTGAAATTATTTGATTTCAAACATACTGTGACTTAGACAGATACAAACTATAATGTCTGAAGTGTTTTCAAAATGGAATGATGAAGCGATAATTTCATTTAAAACCTATATGAACTTGAAAAATTAAGTAAATACAGGGAAGTGAATACGTCATACGATAAGTGTTATGATTGAATAAAGATAAGAGTCGAAATGTCATGTAAATGTCAAATTGATTACACTTTTGATGGCTTGTGGTAGTAATGCTTAAAGATTCGACATAAGAAGCCTTATCTATTTCCAGTACAAAAGCAAATGCATACACACATTAATCACCACCTCCCCATCCCAGTTTATAAACAATTCCTTAAATGAAATAAAATTCAGCATATTATAGAAAATGTAGTTCAAGTGTATGGCTGTGCGTACAGTAGCATTCAATGAGTATTATGTTGTGAAATGATTTTACTTATGATTGGTTGGTTGACATTCGACCAATCAACAAGCTAGTTGACTGAATCAAATATGAACTTATCTAGGGAACAAAAATGTTAATTCTATTTTGATGAATAATATGAATGAAACTCGAATTTATTTTGTAGGATTTTGATCTAATTTATCTATACATAGCATAGAATATATATACTAAATGAAATCTGTACTAATACTAATCAAAGTCATTATATTCCTTGTAAATCTTATTGTATAAAACAATCAATTCTTACTTATAAAGAATGTTGAAAGCCTGCTTATTTCTTAGAAGAGAACAGATTGAATAAAAAGTAGAAAATGGATCAATAGAATACGATTGTTATACACTACCTATTTAAATACAAATGATAAATATGTTAAACAGGATATTTTATAAAAGAGACTTTTGATTCGAACCTACAATAATCATAACTATAAAATAGTTACGAATTCATTTTTTCAGTAAGTATTGCTAATATTCTAACATGCTTAAAGTAATGTATAGTTAAGTATTCAAGAGTTAACATTTGATTTTTTTAATTCACTTACACCTATTTCATGTACTGTTGTAGGTTAAGAATAGACTGATGAAATTGGTTTTTATGATATATTAGTCCCTTGAAAACTATAAATAGATTTTGAAACAATTAGTCCCTTTTATGAATTTGGATAATGTAATTAGAAGACGTAGATTATCTGAACAATATGTGATGTATTAGTGCTATACATTTCGAACAATCTGATCACACATTTACTTGTTAAGGCATTATATATGAAAACTGGAAGTGGGGGAAGGACATATATGGCATAAAGGAATTCAATAATAAGAAAGATAATGAGAGGAATAAAAGATAAGACTTAAAGACAATCTTGGTAATACGATAAAATAAGCATTACCAAGGTAGGCTTAATGTAAGGACAAACTGTTTTTGCACACACAATGGGAGGTTAAATTTATTTATGGCTAGCGCCTCAACAAACTTAAGTATACGCCCCTGACAAGTTCTGTACAGAATTGTAAAGGTTGTCTTGATATCAATTCTGTGACTCTTATCAATGATATGTTTCGCAATGGATGATGATGGTTGTCTGCCATCTGCGCTTATGGATGTTTGTGAATCCAGCTGCTTTCGTAGCCACTTTGAAACATGTTCTCCTACCCTCAAGTGCATATCACGACTAGTCCTCCCTATGTATGTTTGCCCATACACACATGTAAGTTTATAAACGCAATGGGATGTGACACAATCGTTTATACAGCGTTGAGGTCTAGGTAGCAGCAGGTGTTTGGTCTTCTCAACTATGATAAGCTTAGCTGCATAGTACGTTTTGCTAACAGCAGACCTTAATCTTCGTCTTAATATTATGCTATTAGATTCTCCTCTGTATGGTAACGCGATGTTAACGCATTTCTTCGAAACAGAGTACAGATCAGGTTTGAATCCTCGCTGATTTTTGCAGCGGTTTATGAACTTCAATGGATATCCATTTTCCACTAATGTTTCCGTTAGTATTTTGATATCATCATCCATTGAGTCCTCCGTACAAATACGCTCGATCCTTTTAAATAGACAAGTTACCAAACCTCGCTTGTATTGGGTTGGACAAGAGCTATGGAAACTTAAATACTGACCTATCCAAGTAGGTTTCCTGTAGATCGACCGTTTTATTGAACCATCATTTCTACGACTTAGGAGTATATCCAAGAATGGCAGACAGTTTTTTTTTTCTTCACTTGTCAGGCTTATGTTGTTTTGTACGTTGTTAAGTCTTTCTAACAAACGTGTTGCATCTTCATGCTTTTCACATATCACGATTATATCATCAACATATCTTTTATAGAGAGTAACTTTATTGATGAGATCACCGGTCAAGCCCTCAATGTGTGACATGTAAATATCAGTTAGCAATGGTCCTAAGGGACTTCCCATAGCCACACCATCTATTTGTCGAAAATGTTCACCTTCAAATGTGAAATGAACTTTATCAGTACACAATAATAACAGCTCTCTCAAACACGTTGAGGGGATAGGGAAAGAAGGATTACTGGAAGATATATGATCACAAAGAATGTCAATGGTTTTAATTAGGGGTACATTAGTAAATAAGGAGTTGACATCAAATGAATACAATCTCTTATCTTTGATATTAATATCACTGACATAATTAACAAGTTCAAAAGTATCTTTTAAAGAAAACTTACATAAATCATTTCGAATAGGAATTAGAGTTTTTGCTAACCATTTCGCCACTTTATGTGTAGGTGAACGGAACATGGAGATTATAAATAGTAGAATAGTAGAATAAATAGATTTGCTGTAATATACCCTGATAAAATATCAAATTTGTTGGTTTTAGTTACATCAGGTAGGTGAATATATAAATATTGATACTGGTTGATGAATAAAGGTTCAATGGAAATCTAAGACATCGGGGGTTTGAACCGACAACCTGTACGTTTCCTATCAACTGAGCTACACTACTGAGTTGTGGACGAGATTTTAATTTCAGTACGATCACCATATGAACTCGTAATGCGTTACTATCCGTGTATCGTATTCATACTGGCTGTTGAATTAAGACTTCACATCCCAATCGAAATCGTCCTGAATAAGAGAGGGGATGCATAGCACAATAACAATAATAATCGATTTATTCTAAACGATATACATGACAGTATGAAATTCTCAGCATGTAATTTCTCAACAAATTCACTCCTAAAGCAAAACTTTTAGACTAAACGGTTATTGTATCGGAATGATGTTAATAGTAACAGTATTCAAATCGTTAATGCGAAGTAGCCGGCTTATTCTTGATGGGCATCCGATCCATAGTGAAGAATCAACAGAAATGTAAGCGTAATTTTGGTGGTTGCGGTTCACTCAGACGGTATGTAAATCTGCAATTCAAGTTAAGCATCTGACGATAGAAATATGATGTACGCTTTTGCACCGAAAAGTCCATTTCCATGTGACTTAGCATATTTTCTCTTCTTTGTTACTGACTCAAGAGTTGGAAACAGTTTAAAAATGTGGAAGATTACATGAAACATTCAAAGGACATATTCAGGTGATTAAAACAAATTGTAGGGAAAGAATTTGATGAAAAATGTTCAGTGGATAAATTTGGCAGCCAAGGTTCAAGCAGGCCACCATCATGTAGATTATCAATTCGACTATCTGAGATAGTCCTGGATAACAAGGAACATAATGCCCCCCTTTGTTTAATTCAAGTCGATTTCTATTTGAATGATAGATCGTGGCTATATAGCTAGTATGAATACGATAAACGGATAGTAACACAACACGAAACTGTATAACATTTGTTTAAAATCTTTTGTGGCTGAAGTAAAATTCAGGTATTTTCTACAGGTGGGTCACGTAACTCAGTTCTTTCACATCCAACAAATTTATTTCACTTTCGACTATCACCCAGAATCAATAAAAGTCTGGCAAGTCATGACGATTTTAGATGGTCGTATATATATATATTGATACGTCACTACAGAGTAGCCAGTTTCATGTTGTCTAGTCTCGAATACTGACCGAATTCAAACTATCATTTCGCTGTGTGGTTACAAAGCCAGGAGATTCAGCAACATACATCATGTTGATTGATGTTAGATGGTAGAATACAATTAATAAAAAGCTCTGCATATCCTAGGTCTCGTGAATGTCAGCAGTCGTCAACCATGTTATTCTAATTGGAGATGGCCTTCTCTGAGGGATTCAAACCCTATGCCGATGCTACTGAAGTGTTTGAGCCACACATTCAAATTCAAAAATTGACATCAAAGAAGATAAAGTAAGGTGAGATAATAGGCGATCTGTCTGTTTCTTAAAAATATCACACAGTGAAGGAACAGTATCATTCACTAGATAACATTTCGGACACAATTTATTGTTCATATTTATATCAAGTTAGGTAACTCCACAACTTTGAGACACTTTTATATAGTCCTCATTCCCTCACCTTCTTTGTGACTATGAGGGCAGTAGAATTTTCCCGCACATCTGGGACAGGTGCAAAATCATTTCGTTTGCATGTATTCGGTGTTGATTCGGTTAAGAAAGATTTGGCCATCAATCTCTGCTTCCCTCTACCTAACTGAGTTCCTTTTTAAGGCTATCGCTCTATCCCAGGCTACTGTGTGATTATGTATAGTTGCATGCAGAGCTATAGTCGAGCATTTTACTACTCTTTTTACGTTATTAAGATCTACAAACCTTGATTTAGCTACGTTTTTGTGCTCTGTTATTCTAATCGGCGTTGGCTGACTACTTTTACCTATGTATTTGACCACGCAATCACTGCAAGGGATTTAGTAAGCTAGATTGTTTTGATTAATTGCATCGATAGGAACATTTATCCTACAAAGCTTGTTTCTAAGCGAGTTTGTTGGTTTAAATGCCGATGTAATCCCACCCAGACTTATTGAGAATTGTTCGTAATGCTTCTGAGGTTTCTTCCTTGTATGGTAACACAGCAGAGGCTTTGAATTCTCTCTGAACCCTGTCGTCATTACTACTATTTGCAGTAGAATTATTATTAATAACACCTGCATTGCTGCTACTATTTGTAATATTCTTCTTTCGATTTCTAAAGGATTTATTTACAAATTTTGGTGGGTAATTATTGAGACGAAAGTTATTCTTGATGTGTCTAATTTCTTGTCGTAGATTTTCTGGCCTATCAGTGAGCTTTTCCGCCCTATCACTTAGGCATTTAACTAAGCCTACTTTACCTGAGATGAAGTGGAAGGATTTGAAGTCTGATTAGAGATGCGAATGGGAAGGTTTCCTATAGACACTAGTATCTAGATTTCCTTCTTATGTTCGTTTAATCTTGCAATCCAGCATTGCTAGATCACCTTCATCACTTTCTAAGTCACAGGTAAATTGCATTGCATTCACTACTGAATTTATATGACCTAAGAACTTGTGGGTGTAACATTTCTAATAAACAGACTAAAATGGAATTACAATCTACCACAGTCCCCATGTTTTGCTCCTATGTAAATATTTCAAGCTTTAGAAAACGTCAAGAAGTGAATACATCTGCATCATTATGTCCAGTTTCTAGCCATGCCACTTCTCAATCACTGATTCCCAGCCAGGCAACCTACATTTCGCAACACGGCTCGGACAAACAGTAAGAGACTTTATTATCTGGCACCAGGTCTTGGTCTAATCACCCTGAACACTCTGCCAACCTAATCACACTTTTAATAGCATCGTACGTCAACGTGGGCGTAGACTCAGCATGCATAACTTATGACAAAGCCATTTTACTGGACTTAGGTTCAAAACCTTATCAATCGACTTGCCTGTCTTAGCTAGTACTCTTCGTTTGACTTCAACATTGCTCAAATAGTGATTCGAAATGTGAGCAGTGCTACAGAGTTATCTGTGGTCAGAACCTTGCAAACATTTAGTGTCTTCTTATTTTAACAGCCATGTCCG